ACAGGAAGATAATTACATTTAAAAAAAACGAGTTATACAGTGGACAGTAGCCAAAACAACTTATGACTGAAAAGAAAGAGAGAAAAACAGATGGAGGAATTAAAAGCAAGGAGGAATGGAAGTTTTGCACAGGTGGGATGGACGGATGGGTGGATGATGGAAAATCTCTTTGTCCTTTGTTCTTCCCCCCTCTTCTGATGACGTGGCAGTGAGGTGCCTGTCTTCTTCTGGTCAATCCCCACACATGCACAGGAGTTCAGTGGCAGATGAAATCCTTCACCAATTTTATATCTCCCAAGGTCCACCCTCTGTTTTCATAATGTTTAAAAAGGGAAATGTTCTTTTATTGGGAAACCGGTGACATGTGGTATGGACATATGGTAGTCATCACAGCTGGCTTAGAACCTGAGGAGGATAAAAGATGCGTAGGATGATGCAAAAGCTGAGGAAGGTGGAGAGGAGGATGGTACGAGAGAGGGAGGGCCGGAAAGGATAAAAGAAATTCACAATTTCCAGAAATAGTAAGCACAGGAGGGACTACTTTTGGAAACAGACATAACCTAATGTTATTACTTTACCATAGCACGATGACTAAGCTAATATGAGGCTTCTGTCTAAGTCAGACTACACAAAGTTGAATATATCAAAGCTTTTTAGTACTACTTCCCTCAGTTTCAAGTCTTTATGCTGAGCTAAGCTAAGCTGCTGGCCGTACAATGAAAGGACAAAGATTGGAGTGGCATCAATCCTCTCGTGTACCTCTCGGCAAGAAAGCAAACAAGAGTTTTTACCAAAATGCCAAACTATTCCTTTAAAAGCTGCTTCAGAGCAATACAATTAATATTCATATTAATTCAAATGTACACATAACACAAATATACACGCAATGTGTAAGATTTCACTCAGGAAATAACTTTGAGGCATAGTCTCTCAAAGTGTTCCTTTATTTAATGGGACTGCGTGAGTCCAGGCTGTTGCAAAAGAAGTCATGGAAAAACAATCACAGCCTTTTTTTTTTTCCAGGAGGCGACAGACTTTAAGCACGTAAGGATCCAGGGACCTCAAGACACCCGGCTGCACTGTGGGTGTCCATAAGGTTTCATAATTAAAGTAGATGCACTCAGAGAATGACTCACTCTCCAATTACTGTCTGAACACCTCACATTAATTTAGTCTTTATTGACTGCAGATCACACGAGGGGCCAGACGTATTCAACACCTTTTTTCCTGCTGTCAATGAGGCATTATGAGGCTAATGCTGCTGTCATCCAGGAATTTATGAATGTGGAAAAAGTGGTTTATGAATCTGCTATTATCTGTTGAAAGAGGTGAACAATTGCAATAAATACTTTTTAGAAATTCTGGTATTTTCAATGGGGTTATTGCCCTTTGGAAATTGATTAAAAAATATGAACACCACTCTATCCATGTGAAAGCATGTCTATAATCATACAAGGGTGTCTGCACTTACGCAAGATGTCATTGACCTTTGACTTTGCTTCTTGTAGAAGATCAATTGCTTTCCTAAGATGGGGCACAATGTCCTGTAGTCCGCCGCTGACGTCTCCATAAAAGTGAGGAAAGGGGAAAAACTAGAAGTCAAAGTAACAGCAATAATCCTTAAAAAAAACACATCTTCAAATGTATTACTGCTCAGGGAAAAGAGAAAAAGGCCTCAGTGTGTCAGCCAAAGAGAGCGTGAGGCTGCCTTCACTGTTTACCTGTCCACCTGTCTAGTGGAAAAACAGAGAAAGAGACCTATACCTGTAAATTTAGCAGTCAATTTTGTGAAAAATTACATATGAGGGAGAGATAAACTGTCTTATTTAACTTAGTGGGTTAGCAGACAAAATAAATCATGTTAGGGGCTTTGATGTCTGGTTTTGCCTTCAATCTCTGAGTTTAATCCTATGTCCTCTCTCCTTTTCATCTCCTCTTCTTACTCAGCAGCAGACTGCAGTGTTAGTAGCTACTGTTGCTAATAAATACAGACAGCCCTCAGCCTTTATCCAGACGAAGACTCTCAGGAGAACGGCACAAAAAAAAGAGCTGGCCTGCTTCAATGATGACAACTCACATGATGAAAAACTACAACTTATGCACTGATCTAGTCTCTACTGAGTGCAAATAAATTGTGTTCGGAACCAACTCATTGTGTGCACTGGCTTTACACTTTACATACTTGAAATTCAGGCTCCAGAGATATGCATCATGGGAACTGCTCTGTGACAGCTTGTGAGTCCCGTCCTGTCCTCGTGTCGGGAGGATGTTGAGAGGTTGAGCAGAATCGCATCTAATCTGTCCAAGGACAACCTGCTGGGAAGGTCCCCTCTTAATTTGTCTTCCCGCTGCTCTGCAATTGGCTCTTTGCCATGTTTTAAAGTGAATATGAACAGTCAAAATGTGTCTCTGTGTCTCTCCTCCATAGCTCACTGTCGGTATATGGGGGAGAAGCAAAAGGTGCAAAGGACGAAGCTGGTTGCCTTCAAATTTGGCAATGAGGATATTGACAATGACAGAGCTACCAGTCATTGCTTTGAAGCAAAAAGAGAGTGAGAAAACATGAGAGGTCCTTTATGATGTTAAAATACTTACTTTTAGTGGGAGGTATTCTTTGCTCAGGTCATGTGTGCCACTAGCAATTTAATATCAAGTGTTATAGGAAATATCCCACTTGTATTAAGAATCTGTGCACTAACCTTTATTATCAACCCCCTCTGTCCATTCAATTAAATAGTTTAGTCATTTATCGACATAATGTCAAATTACTAGATATTTGTTTCAACCGTTTCACACGGTCTTCATCAGCAGGTGGAGATTGCTCAGTTTCCATGAAAAAGGCGATATGCATTATGTGGATCATGGAAATATAAACAGTACTGAGCTCGCGGCAGAGTAGACTATGTAACACGGTTGAAAAAGCCAATAAGTGGACCTTGATTAAGGATTGTTTTGTCAAACTATTGTTTACAAAGTCAGTAATTAACGTTGTTGCTTAGTTTAAACAGTGTTTATTCTCAAAAATTCGATACAACCTCAAAAATTACACCCAAAAATACTGGTGGAAAAACACATGCTACCACATTTGGGTTACTAATCAGGAGTTGCCTTTTAGACCTTTAAACATAAATAAATCCCTGTTTATCTCTGACTTTTTCTGATTGTGATGAAACGCTTGATACAAAGTAGAGATGAGTCATCATCACTCGCCCCAAGCAGTTAATTAGTAAGCACGTCAGGCGCTCAAGGAGGCAGACACAGTCAAGCACCTAATCATAAAGTGAAGGATCATCGCGCCATTAAATGTGGTTTTCTGAATGCTCCTTTATTAAGAATATGCAATTTAAGTAAAAAACAATAAAGACAACCTGCAACAAGCTACAGGTTAAATCTGAGGTCTGTGCTGCCATCTGCTGTTGATGTTTTTCAGCACATTATGAGATGAAATTCATTAAAATGGGTGGAATAGAATAGATGATGTGCTACATTGTCTGTTTAATGTTTGAAAGAATATATGTTTTATAAGCAGCATGCCCTGATGCATGCGTTTCTGAAAGGAGTTTAAGAAAGAATAAACACAGTAAGGCCATAGATAGTGAGGACTATAGAGTTCAAAAGTAAACATTAAATACGTGTCTACACAGTTGGAAAATGCGTTTTGCATGCAAAACACTTTTGCACCAGAAAATGACTGTTTCTTTTTACTATAAAGGAGCTATTTTAGATCATAATTGCTGTGCTCACTTTAGCACACTAATAAAACAGAGTTAAGGGCTCTGGGGTTTTAAGACCAATCAAACAGCAGTTTATCCAACGGTTTTCTTTTCTTCACACACATTTTATAGTTAAGTAAAAGAACAGAATATATTAGTATCAAAAGGAAAAGTGCTAAATATGCAGCAGAGTGCCTGTTGGATTATGTTAAATATTACATTTTATTATTTGATTTTTGCTTCCGAAAGATAGAGGGAAAGTATAAAATAGCATAAAATAATAAATACTCCAAAAAAGGGCCTCAAAAATCGGTTACATACCACCACTGCCTATTACTTATACAAATCTTGCTCATTGCTTTTGTGCCTGGTGGTTGTTGCAGCAATTTTGGAGTTCTATTGTGTGACTGATTGGGAGGTTGCACTGTCAAAATCACATTCACTGCCATTAACACTTGAAACTTCTTTCTCCACTTTCCCTTTCTTATTAAATGAGTGTTTCTCCATTAATTTAAACAATATGCACATATATCATCAGTACGTTACTAGTAGGTTCCTTTCTGTGCAGTTACTGTGATTGGTTTCACACAAATGTTTGGTATTTGGAGCTTTCCACAGGAAAAAGTGTGCTTGTGCAGAAAAGCACAACTTACTCTTTGCATCAACAAACAATAGTGTCCACCTGCAGTGTTACTCAGTTAGATGTATGCGAGCGATATCAAACAGTCTATAACGTTGTCAATTGTAAGCTGTTCTTCTTTGTTAGCTGGCATCCAAACCTTTACATTGCCACAAACTACTGGATTTAAACTAAAACTTCCCTCTCTGATATAATTTCTATACTTTCCAGGTGTTTAAGAGCCAAAAGCTTCTCTCAACTGCTGCTGCACACATTTTCCAGAAACTCACACATCCAGAAATCTCCTAGCAGCATCTATAAATACGTCAATTTTCTAGGATTTTCTTTCTACTCCAGCAGAACAGTAAATTACCATTGCAAAAAATGTCAAAAACTTCACCTGATCTGACTGGAGTGGATTGTCCTTCTTGTCTCACACCATAACTTGTTCTACCTACTTCCTCATTATTATGTCTTTTCTCATATCTAACACTGCTCATTTCTGTCTCCTTTGATAGCCTCCAAGACTGCATTATTCCCTTTGCACAGAAGTCTGTGGGTCTTTCAACATCCATTCTCATGTAGCAGAGGAGCCAGGTGTCAGCAATCAACCAATTACTGCCTGACTCATATAAAAGCAGCGCTCTTTGTTTCAGTGTGTAGCTGCTGTTTTAATGTGAAGGAAGTGCAGGATATTGGTGAGTGTTTGTTAAAGTTTGATGTGGTCCACTGCAAGAGGAATGAGTTTATTCATTCTTGTCTTGTGCATTATAAGACTGTGTTTGCTCTAATGTTTAAACATGACCTAAAATTCTATAGGCCTTAATTTTAAACACGACTGCTGGTTTAATGATGCTCTTCTCTAAATGAGAATGTATTAAATTGATTTTCTCCCAATTTAAGACTGGTGATGTCTGGCCGTGGAAAGAAAGCTCTACCCAAAGCAAAACCTCATGTATCCCGGTCTACCAGAGCAGGGATCACTTTCCCAGTGGGCCGTATCCACAGGCTACTGAAGAAGGGCCACTATGCTGAGCGAATTGGCAATGGCGCAGCAGTATACTTCGGAGCAGTCCTGGAGTATCTCTGCGCAGAAATCCTGGAGCTGGCAGGAAATGCCTGTCTTGACAACAAGAAGCACCGCGTCTCTCCTCGCCACATCTTGTTGGCAGTGAAACATGATGAAGAGCTCAACAAACTGCTGGCAGGGGTCACGATCTCTGAGGGTGGGGTCATCCCAAATATCCAAGCACGCCTTCTCCCCAAGAAGACCAAAGTGCCCAAGGATGATATTTCAGCTAAAGATGTTCAGTCCCAAGAGTTTTGATTGTGAATTTATGTGTTTTTACCATCTTGATATATTAAAAGTGTTGCATTGTTAAAAGTTTTTTTTTTTTTTTTTGTTTCCCCCCCCCCATTTCTTGACACTTATTGAGCAAGACACTGGAAGCGGAAGTCTTTGGGGAAAATTGTCCACCATACGAGTTTGACCGGCAAATTTCTCTGAATGCTTAGGAAGTGTGCTTTATTGCCTACTTCATGCAGCTGAGAATGTCACGGTTTTTGAGGAATGTACTACTTTAAGGATAACTACACTGGTCTTTCTCCTGTGAGCCTAGTGTCTTAACTATCAACATGCTGTCCAGACGGTGCACACGGCTATTGAAGTTGACATTGATGCAGTTTACTTTTTGGGCCCTTACACCCAAGACTTGTGCTGGAATTTTGAATGTGGCCCAAAATGTTAACGGCGTCAAGATTTGGTATTGGCAGTAAGGTTTTTGCAAGGCTCACATTTTCATTGACTTTCAAAGCAGTAATGGCTTTAAAATTCTTTCTCCCGTTTTTTTTTTTTTTTTTTTTTTTTTCAAATCTGGGCCAAAGGTTGACCTGGCAAGGCAATTAGATACTTCCTTGTACCTCCTAAATGGTTGCCCATGTGTTTATTTTTATCAAACTATCTGATCTTTCACAACAGATGGCTGTAGAGCATTTGAAGTCTGCTTAAAGTCAGGATTTACTTGAAAAGACTATCAAAACAAATGTGAAACAACCCGGCAGAAGGTTGGGAATAATGACGATAAAATGAAATGCTACAGAAACTTATTTGGCAGTAATAGTGTTTGCTATTCTTGACCTTTTTACTGTGTTCATGGAGTCCTTGTAAGATCAACCTAAAAAAATAATTACATTTTTGTTGTGTGGCATTTGTCCAACACTATAATCAAAATATTTTTAGGAGTGAAATAAAAACAAAAGTAAGCAACCGTGTCTTAATTAGTCTCGATTCCTAGTCTAAACTCCTTTTTAGCAACGGTCTACAACACTGCGTCTCTTGAATGTGCCCCCGTGGGTAACGACGTGCTGACGTAAGACGTGTGAACAACAAACAGTTGTTGGACTTCAACAAGCTAGCGAATGGTAACGCCAGACAAAACAGGTTCAACGTACTTCTCCCGGATAGAGAAACACTTACAAAACCTGTGCGGTCGGAACATCCATTATAATCTCCATAATAATTAGCGGCATTTGTGCCGGCAGGTGTAGCTTCGCCACGGTTCCCTATAGCGCAAACCTTAGCCACTGAAACATGGTCATTGCGCGGAGTGTGACGCCTGTTTTTTTCCTGCCTGGTCGACGGTTGTGATGCGAGCCGAGCAACACGACGGCGGGTGAGACTCCACGGCCGGAACATATTGTTATTGACCGAGAAGAATGGACTTTGTGTGGGAGAAACAGACGGGCTCACGTAAAGAAGCTGGCATGCGACCGCACACGGGCCTGGAAGAACAACTTTAGCAAGCTAGCTAACATTAGCTCGCTCAAATATTCATGCAAATTAATTGGTTTGGTGTCGGAGCAGTAAGCTCTCTCTGTTATGGAGGCTCCCTGAGGGACTGGTGCATTTCTATTGACTGTCCTGGTCTTCTTAAGTGTTGTTGGCGATGTGCTGACGACAGTGAGCATTTCTTCGCTTCCCTCCTGTAGGACACGGTTGGCAGAGATTATTAAGAGGTGGTTGCCTGCCTGGGTGGTGATAAGTGTAACAAAGTTGCCTGGTTTGGCACACAGATAATTGCTGCAACAGTATCCATTTTTCACATATTTCTTTTATTGAAATTTTGTGTGAAATTGCACTTTAATTTGCTGTTTTTTTTAAGGATGCACCAAAGTCACCTGAGATTTTCGGTTATTTAATTCACCCCTTGTATTCACAAATTAGTTAAAATATAGGTATAATTTTCTAATTGCACTTGAATATAAGTTGGTGAATACAGGACCAGTATAGGTTCACATTTAAGTATATTGTCTTGAGACAGGCTTATCCATGTCAGTGGGTTACTAGTCACTGTTTAACCTAATATCTAGGCTGTCTGGCACAGTTACTATCTGAGTCTCACTGGAAATGAAAACATGAATTTCGAAGAGCAGTGTCTAGATTTGTGCAATGTCAAGACAAAAAGCAACGTGGGCGATGATCACAACACTACCAACAACACAGAAGGGGTCACCCCCCGGATCTCTGAACTGATGACGGAAAGTAACACAGAAAAACAAAACATTGTTCCCACAGAGGCCTCCGAAACGTACCTGATGCCTCAGCTCACCGACAACCTTCAAGCGGCGGAGGACAACCACCAGGCACAAGACACACTGGAAATTGACGAGGTCAACGGGAATAGAAAGAGCACTGTTCAAGACACCCCTGCGGTAGGGAATCCCACTGACTTGATCTTTTCTAATGATGAGCAGCACAAGGATGATATTGGGGTGGAGAAAATAAAGGAAGATAAGGACACTGATCCTGCAACGTTTGTTGTGGAAGAAGGGGACGATGGTGGGGACATGGACATAGGTGTGGATCTGAGTCTCGATGAGAGCGGCGTGTTGGAGGCTGAATCGACAAATGACGGATCGTTCACGGACAATACTGTAGACTCTGAATCCACGGCTCAGGATGTCCCAGCTGAGAGCCCGTCAGACGCCATCCAGACGAGCAGCACAGAAGCCTCTGCCACAGACCAAGCTGGACTGTACCCTTCTGTGGAGGAGGGGGACGATAAACAAAAGCCAAGTGGCAAACGGGTGAAGTTTCCCTCAGATGAGGATATTATCTCTGGAGCAGTGGAGCCCAAGGATCCCTGGAGACATGGTAATACTATATGTGTTTGTGTCTGCCCGCCTGTATGTGTGAATTACTTTCTTTTTATTGTACTCGTGCCTGTATGAACATGTCAGTTGAACATAGTTTGCCAGGATTAATTCTCAAGTCTTTTAAACAGGATCGTTCTCTCAAGCTACAGTTGACCTGTCCTGGTTCATATTCTATTTGTAGTCGGTAAAAATGGGATTGGTGGATGTATGAGGTGTGTCGAGTGCTTTTGTGTTAACTCGTCATCTGTTGCATCGCACTACAGTGCAATTAGTGCTGCACCTTTGCCCCAGAAACTTTTTTTTTTTTTTTTCAAACTCAAGTTCTTTTCTTACTTTAAATAGTTAGATAAATAACATCATAGCTTAGTCTGGCTTTATTTCCGCAGCAGCCATCTATATCTATATCTCTATATCTCTCTCAATATATATATATATATATATATCTCTATATCTCTCTCTATATATATATATATAT